ATTCCTTTGACATCTGAACATTTTAGAAAAACTTATCCTTCTATTCTGATCCTTCACATAAAAACAAAATTACAACATGATGACCATTAGATGGCAGGAAAGAAATACAGAAAAACTCATTAGTTTCTATTTGCTGTTTATTGAGTTTTTTTGCAGTACTGATCTGGTAATCCTGTATTTACTGATTATAAGAATGTATCTCAATAGTAGTATTAATTTTTTGTTTCCAGTTTAAGATGCTCTGAAATGATTTACATTCCAGAGCTTGTAGCACTTATGAGAAACAAAACTATTATGCATTATTAATTGGATTGGTATGTCTGCAACTAGTTATGTATATTCAGTTTCTGAATAAGAAAACATTATGGAAGCCTGCTTTCACCTATAATTCTCTCTTCATTGACATGACCAACTACAGTAAGTATTAAGTCTGATGAGAACATGAAGGATCAAGATGAATATATGTTATCAAAAAGTGAGAATAATTGTTCCGTTTCTCATTGGTGAGTGGGAACTTATGATAAATTAAATATATGCTTTTAAATATGAATTTTATACTTCCAATTAATAAAGCCTCTTAATCAAAACTATTGTTAAACTGTTGTCTTCCTTTTATATAATTATGTTTGATTTACTTACATATTCAAGTAGTTCACTATCTTGATCATCTTCTAAAGAGTTTGTCTCTAATATACATAGTTATTTTGGTAGAAGTAATCATTTAATTTTATCTATTTTCTCCAAACTATCTCAGAATACAGTGTATAAATTTTTACCCATTCCATTATCATTATAAGTCTAAGAGATAGATTAACAAAAATAGTTCAAGATATCTGTTAAGTTTTATGCTTTAGTCTACCACATATATTATACTAACTCAATCAGGAAAATGAATACAAGTAGTCCTCAACTTACGACCACAATTGAGCCCAAAATTTCATTTGTCAAGTGAATTTGTCCCATTTTACCTTTTACCTTTCTTGCCTCAGTTGTTAAGTGAATCATTGAAGCTGATAAGTTAGTAAACCAGTTGTTAAGAGAATCTGGCTTCTCCATTGACTTTACTTGCCAGAACGTTGCAAAAAAGGGATCACATGACCTTGGGACAAAGCAAAAGTCATAAATATGAACCAGCTGCCAAGTACCTGAAATTTGATCACGTGATCATGGGGAGACTGGAAAAGTAATTGTGAAAAACAGTCATAAGTCACTTTTTTCAGTAATGTAGTTACTAACTGAAGACCTTGGAGGTCTTCTAGTCCAACCCCACGATCAAGCAGGAGGCCCTATACCATTTCAGGTAGGTGGATGTCCAGTCTCTACTTAAAACCCTCCAGTGATGAAGCAACAACTTCTAAAAGCACATTGTTCCGCTGGTTAAGTGTCCCATTAGTTGCTTCTCTAATTTCCATCCATTGTTTCTTGTATTACCTTTTGGTACTTTGGAAAATAAGTTCTCGTCTTCTTTGTGGCAGCCCCTCAAATAATGGAATATTGCTATCATGTCATCCCTAGTCCTTTTCTCTAGACTGGACATAACCAATTTTTGCAAAAGTTCTTCATATGCTTTTGTCTCCAGGCCCTTAATCATCTTTATTGTTTCTCTTTGTACTTTTTCCAAAGTCTTTTTTGTAATATGATGACAAAAACTGGATACAGTATTCTAGATGTAACCTTATTAAGGATTTATAAAGCAATACTAATACTTCACATGATTTTGATTCTATTTATATAACCAAAGATTGTATTAGCTTTTTTGGCTGCTGCCACAAACCGTTGGCTCATGTTTGTGATTGTCCACTAGGACTCCAAAGTTTTTCATAGTTACTGTTTTTCAGCCAGGTTTTGCCTAATCTGTACTCGCTCCCTTTATTTTTTCCTGCTTACATGTAAAACCTTGCTTTTCTCCACATTAAATTTTATGTCGTTGGATAAGGCCCATTGTTCAAGTCTGTCAATATCTTTTTGGATCCTGAGTTTGCCTTTTGTGGTGTTGGCTATTCCTGCTAGCTTAGTATTATCTGCAAATTTGATGAATTCACCTTCTATTCCCTCATCTAAATCATTTATGAAGATATTGAAGAGTATTAGACCTAAGATGGAGCCTTGTGGTATCCCACTGGTTATTTCTCTCCATATAAATGTAGTACCACTAAATCCATCTGGTGGTGATGCTGTCTATCCCACATTTTTCTAGTTTACCAAGAATTAGGTTGTGGTCTACTTTGTCATATGCCTTACTGAATCGAAGTATACTATGCCCACAGCATTTCGCTGGTCTACTAATTTAGTTACTCTAAATTAGTGTGAATGAAAATAGGATTGGTTTGACATGATCTGTTTTTTAACAAACCTGTGCTGGCTATTAGTTATAACTTGTTTCTAGATGTTCACAGATCTGTTTTTTGATTATTTTTTCCAGTATCTTCCCAAGAATTGATGTTAGGCTGATTGGTCTGTAGTTTCCTGAGTCTGTTTTTTTTTTCCTTTTTTGAAGATGGGAATCACATCAGCTCTTTTCCAATTCTCTGGTAGTTCTCTAGTGCACCAAGATTTTTTAAAACTATGGTACAATGATTCTGACGTAACATCTACCAGCTCCTTCAGAACTCTAGGATGTAATCCATCAGATCCCAATGGTTTATAATCACATTGCTGGAGGATCATACAGTCTTCTAAGTACTGCAAGATTTGGAATTGAATATTTGTGAAAAAATATTCAAAAATGTCTAGATTGACATTCCAACTCTTAAAAAAATGCCTACTACCCCGATTACTATGTTATACGAAGGAAAAAGGGAAGGATCAGCAATAATATACTGTATATAGGTACTATAGCCAATTGCAGGGTCCAAGATTTCAATTTGGGGGCACTCTTTTCCAAGATGGATAAATGATGGGGATATTTGGTTTAATACTTTTAGAAATTTAGTTTAGCTTGGAGAAACGTGATTTTATACTACAATCATTTGAACCAAATACATAGTAGTATAGCCTAGAAAGATTGGTGCCACACACACAATCCTAGCATAGCTAATAGACTATTTTGACTTTATACATGAAAGCTGCTACAACTTTCAAAGACTTATTTTATTCCACAAAAGCTGATTTATGTCACACACTTAATAGTTTCATGACAAACATTGATTTAAGTTAAAGAAGCTAACACATAAAAACTGGCTTAGTTCACAAAGGTGTCTATTTCATAATCAATCAAGTCAATTTCATTTTCATTCCGCAAAAAACTTCATAAAGCAAAAGTTAATTTAGCAAGCAGTCTTGTGACTAAAAACTTTAATTTTGGTTTAATTCAGGCATAGTTTATTTTATATAACATTGGTTTAACTTGAAAAAAGTTATGTCATAAACAGTTGTTTAGTTCAGGCAGATTTATGAGCTTTGCAAATACTATGCTAATCTATTTTGCAAAACTTTCATTCCTATCATACACAATGGCTTAGATAAATATTTGTAATTTCATTCCATACCCTACTTTGTAAAACTATATTGCTTTCAGTCACAACCAATAGTCTAGCCCTTAGCAATTGCTCACAAATGGTTTCAGAGATCTCGTGGTTTTATAAACCAGACCCTCATGTAAGAAGCCAAGATTTGGGATTCACACCACACACCCTGGATTAGTTTTGATTTATGGTTACATACAAGTGCTGAGGCAGGAAGCTTGCTGAGAAGAGAAAGCAGAACAGCACCTATGGTTATGAATATACATCATACAAAATTCAATGTTAAACAACTTTTGGTCTTATAACCTGACCTTGAGGAACAAAGCCAGGGTGGAACAACACTGGAATAACATTAGAATGGCTGGCAAAGATAATTAAGTAGCAGAGAGAAAAATCTCTTTAGGTCTGCAGTTTATCATCATGAATACATGTGAGCGGAATCCTGAATTAACATTGCCAATTTTCTAATCAGAACCCCTTGTACATTTACATAGGAATTAAGGAGGCAATATGTTTTCATGGCAAGAGAAAAGGGATTCCTTTTTAATCTTTCCACCTAATAGGTTTGGGGTTTTTTTGTCATACTTCTCGAAAACAGCAAGTTTCTTTTAGTTGCAGGAAAAAAATAACATTTTCCCCATCAGGTAACCAAGGGTGGATGCCTCAATAAGATCAATACAAAAGAGCCGGCGTGGCCAAGGAGGTCTGTCATTCACGTGACCTGACCGAAAAGCACTGAGGAAGGTGACGCGTAGCAGGCAGAATTCCGAGAAGGCGGGGCTATTCGGGAAGGACTTGCTAGAAAAAAAAGGGGGGGGGAGGAATGTCTAATAATTCTAAAGCGTTTGCCTCTCTTTGCCGGTTACTTGAGGGCATTATTTGAAAACGGTTGCTAGGAAACGAGTGCACAGGGAGGCCAACGGAGGAACTCTTCGCTTACTGCGCCTAACGCAACTAGTTGGGCAGAGCGCTTTTAGACATTTCATCTCATGAACCTTGAAGATGCCCACCTCCCTCTTTCCACATTTAGGAAGGAGGAGGTTGGAAAAGAGGATTAAGAATAAGGTTTCCAGAAATGAATCTCGATGTTCCTATGGGTGGCAGAAGTAGCCCTGACAATTAGCCCTGCCAGGATGTTTCCTGCTAGAAAAGGAGGAGGAAAACTGAAGCCAGACCGAAGAGGCAGCCTCAGTTTCAGCGATCTTTTTCCTTCCTCTCGAAAACAGGACGGGAGGCAACTCCCTTTCTGTTGAAGGCGTAAGAGGGACAGGCACTGCAGTACATTCCGTTCTCTACAGCTATGAATGGAGAAAAAGCGGCGGGAGAAGGTGGGGGGAGCAAGCCAGCCGCGGGGAGGTAACGTCCAACTTCCTCCTGCCTTCACGCGCTTCAGTTTGACCAATGAGGTTCAAACAGATTGGGCAATCAGATTGATGGGTGGCTGTGGGAGCCAGTAACTGAAAGCGGAGAGCAGAACCCGCAGAGTGGTTTTCCTACTTTGCCGCCCAATTGCTTCCTCGGCAAGGCCTTCTTGATCCAATGGCGAGCGGAGCGTGAACGAAGGGGTAGGAACGATGAGGGGTTGGGTAAAACGGTAAGGAGGCGCGGCCCGATCAGAAGCACAGGCGGTTTTTGCTGCGGCATTGGAAGGTGCCTTCTTGGAGCCTCCGGGTAAGAGGCGGCGAGACTTTAGCTGACCAGCGGATTGGGATTTTGTGCTTTCGTGGCTTGCTTTTTCTGCCCTGAAATCGTCGTCTGGTCTGACTCTGCGCTCGTCTGCTTGCCAGGGAAGCAAGATCGTCACTAGAAGCCTGGGACAGGCGAAGAAGCTTGGCGGCGGCGGCGGGCGGCTGGTGCCCTCTGCTCGCCGCGGGCCCCTCCCCTGCGATGGGGAATGGGTTGTCGGAGCAGACGCCGATCCTATCGAGCCTGCCTTCTTTCCAGTGCTTCCACATCGTGATCTTGGGGCTGGATTGTGCCGGCAAGACCACCGTCCTCTATCGGTTGCAGTTCAACGAATTCGTCAACACTGTGCCCACTAAAGGTTTCAATACGGAGAAAATCAAGGTGACGTTGGGAAACCACAAGACCGTCACTTTTCACTTCTGGGACGTCGGAGGCCAGGAGAAGCTACGGCCGCTTTGGAAGTCCTACACCCGCTGCACGGACGGCATCATCTTCGTGGTGGATTCCGTGGATGTGGAAAGAATGGAAGAAGCAAAAACGGAACTTCACAAAATCACACGGATTTCCGAGAACCAGGGAGTGCCTGTGCTCATTGTGGCCAACAAGCAGGACTTGAGACATTCACTGTCGCTTTCGGAGGTGGAAAAGATGTTGGCAACCAGCGAGCTGAGCTCTTCCACTCCCTGGCATCTGCAGCCCACTTGTGCTATAATCGGAGATGGTCTTAAAGAAGGATTGGAGAAACTGCATGACATGATAATTAAACGAAGGAAAATGCTGAGACAACAGAAAAAGAAAAGATGAGATGTTGTGACTAAGGGTGAATTCCTTCTTGGTTTTTGACACAAAAAAAGTCGGCAGCACTAGACTTGCTCATTTGGATCTTGTACAGATTGATTAAACATGCAGTCTGGTGGGAAGTTTTGCAGGCAGATAATTTTATCATTTCCCTATATGTATTTGGGGACTACTACTTTAAAAAAAAGCAACTCCCTTGTTACATAGTACAAAGAGTTCAGGAAACAGATGGGTGGGTAAATGTAATCTGGATATCTAAATAACCAAATAATAAAATGAGTGGTTTGCTTCATGGTATAGTCATGTCTGAGAGTGCCTTTGCAACAAAATTGCATTCAAGGCATTAGTTTTTCACCTACTGCTTGTGTCAGTGGGATGTTTAGATGAAGATATGCAGCTTTAAAACAATATTAACATGTCTGGATCTAGACAATTAGTATTTAAGAGGCTGTGAATGTGAAAGATTGGTTGAATGGTATACACTTTTAACTGATTTCTCTTAAAATACTAGTTGGAATGCAAATGATTTGAATTACCACCATTGTGGTAGCCATGTTATTTGCAGCCTGATAGAGAAAAAAGTATGGACTATGTAAGAGTGTGGATGAGTTTCCTGATAATATAGCATGTCTTGGTGTGTAGGAGTTATTTAGAAATAGCTGTGCATCTTTAAAGCAGTGCTAATCAGATTTGGACCATACTTATTATTGTTCCAAGAAGACATGTTTTAGATGAAAAACCCAAACAATTAGACAAATGTAAACTATTACCATAAGGAGTTTCAGGATTCTTATAGTGCAATATTACCTTTACATTAAATTGATGGCAATAAAATTTGATCATGGTTCAATATAAGTCAAGCTAACATCAGCAAAGCTACATGTCCTTTGTGCCCAATATTGTTGAAATGTACTGCCAGGTTTTTGTAAAAAAAATATTCTTTTTTGGTAGTACTAGGAATGTACTGAATCTATACACTTGAAAACTTTGACACTGGAAAACAAGAGTTTAAAGATGACACATCTACTCGATGCTTTAAGCTTTTCTTGTTTGCAGTCATGCAAGCAGTGTTTGAGTTGGGATGGCATATAATATTGAAACACATTTCTTACTGGTACAATTTCCTTCCCCCCCCCCCCAAAAAAAAAAAATCAGTTGGTATGGGTAACAGGTCAAAGGGCTAAAATGAAGCCTGTATTACTCTACTGGTGCTGTGAGAAATCATAATTCCAATACTAAATGAACTTGAACAGAGATTTGTCCTTCCTTCAGCACAACCAACCAAGTTAGTATAAATTTATTGATCAGATATAGGGAGGGTTAACTATTTTTCTGACTGTTAAGAAATAAAAACTTCTGCAAAATCAAATTTTATAGCCAGAAACTGGTTAGAAGGTAACCAAAAATGCACTTTAGTGTTTTCCAATACTGAAAGTGTCAGCTTTTTTTAAAAAAAGGAAAGAAATCCTGATCCTTTTCGAAAGAATTGAAGTAGCTTCTAATGGAGCTTTTGTATGGTGGTTATATGTATCTGCACTAGTGACATTAAAAGTCACTTAACGTCTATATTTATAGAAATGTAGATAACTTCTTAAACCTCAATAAACTCAATTCCAAGTAATTCATTGAAACAAGTTGAACACATTCTAGTATGTTGATTTTGCTTTTTATTAAAGACTATCTGCATGAAACAACTTTATTCATGTGACATTTGTAAAATGTGACAATGTTTTAAAAATCACTGGTATCTCATTAAAATTTTAATGGCATTTGCATTATGTTTTGTCTCTTTATATTATAACAATGAAATACAGTTGTTGATACAATTTCTTGTCTTAGTTTTGTGATTCTGGTATTCAACAAGCAATAGATGTACACAATAGATGTTCTCAGTTGTAGAATAATTTAGCTGTTACAAACATGTTGCACATTTCTCCGTAATCTTAGCTTAGTATACAAAAGTTCTTCATTTCTTCCCTAGAAGTCTGGGTCCACTCATTCAACTGAATACAAAATGAAAGGGACTAGTCCTTGTGTCTCTAAATTTGTAACACATAGTTTTTTAAATGACTCGTGTGCGCAACTTGACAATGTGTTTCCTGTAGTACCTGAAGTATTACTTCGGCAATTGTGATGTTTATGAAATGGTGGTCTATTTCTGTTCTGAGAGCATCCTATTAATTAAACTCCTGTATTTTATATCATAAAAACATTTAAAAGTCCTAGTACTTTCTGTCCCACAAACATTGAGATGCAAAGAAAGGTTGATAACTTGTTAAAGCAATGACATTTTTGCTCTTTGCAGACTGAATTGTCAATGGAATTGACAATAACCTTAACCCTAATGCTCTGGTAGAAGTATACCCACCTAAAACTACAGATTTGTTTTGTTGTTTTGTTTTGTACTTTTCTTTCCCTCATTCATTTAAAATAAAATAAAAAAATGTTTGTTTCCTACTCCCAAGGAAAGAGGGATTGGCATTTTTCATTCTTTTTTTTTTAACTCTACCACAACTAGTATTGAATAAACCTTGTTCATCCTTGTTGATGAGATATGTATCTCCAAAGAGCAAAAAATACTCCTTAGACCTATGTCTGGCCTTTTCCTAGGTATTTATTGAGACTGGAAGTAAAATCTGCTAAAGGAAATTGTAGGAAACACACTTTACAAATATTCTATAAGACTAATGTGGAGTAATATGAACCATTGTACAGGATAGATGTTACTTGCATAGCTGGGGATATTTAGTGGGTCTACTTAAGCTACAGTTTTGTGTTTCTTGTTTATACAAGAAACAGTATAATATTTTACAAAATTCTGTTTTTATACATGTGCAGCTCTTTTGAAAATTCTAGAACTGGATAAATTAAAATTCATGCCTCTTTATTATTTATGAAATAAAATATATAATTAAATCACAGTTTATAGCTATGTTTTGAGTTGGTAATGTTTTAGAAATTGCTATGGGGGCCAGGGGTTCTAGGCCATTAAACATTTAAACAATGATATTTTCTCATTCTAATCTGATAAAGTAATGTCAAAGAGTTCAGCCAGACATAATCTACACAAAGTGTAGATGGAATGGAGCACCTAGCTACTATTTATTTCCTTACTATTTTTTAAAAAAGAATATTCTTGCAGATTTTGCAAATAAATGCCGTAGTTTGAATAATGTAAAAAAAATGGGGAGAAATTGAATACCTTTAGTTCTTGTGGGACATTTGTTGATATCCATGTTAGGTTTGGTTGAACCATAGGCAAGTTGGGAGTTTTCTTTTTTGGAGGAAAGGGAAAATGTTGGAAGGTTTTTTTGAGACTTGCACAACAAGCTGCTTACCATTGCTTTTAGAAGCAATGATCCAAAGACCTCTAACCAAAGACTGTCTATGCTTGGCAGCCTATAAATACTTTAAACAAAAACATTTTTCTTTAAAACTGTTATAAACAATTATTAGAAAATAGCAATTATATACATTCAGAATCTAAACGAGTATAAACACTGGCTGAAATTATTTAACCGGTCTACATGATTGTTTTTTCCTTACTCAGGTCTGTCAAGAAAAATCCTGTATGGCAGGTTATTTGAGAAGCTGTGAAAAGGCATTTTAGATAGAAGGATGACTTCTAAATATATCCCACTGTTACTGAGATCAGTTGAGCATTGTTATCCAGTTCTCAAAGCTCTGCTGGCCCAGCTTCAGGACTTTTTGAGAAAACATCTCACTGCAGAATGTAGCAAGGCTGTGTTCATTCTGGGGTATGTGTAAACAGGATTACAGGGTTAGAAACCAGAGAACACTTGTACTATAGGGCCTTTGTATTCCTGTTTTAGAGTAGGGGTCATTGCCCAAGTTATCTGTAAAAGTAATATATATTTATCTTGGAAATGCAAATTGGCCATGCATTTAAAAATTGAATAGCCTTTAGATGAATGTATCGTAGATTACTTTTACTTCATTATTTATTAATTTGAGTCACACCCGCAACTTACTACTTTTCTATAATGTAGTAGTACCGTATCTTGTTCATTAATAATTCATTCCTACAAAGGCAATGGACTCAACATTCTGAAAAAATGTGTATTAACATGATAGGCCACCCAATCCCATTCCACCCTCCTTTAAAAAGGATGGGCCCTGAATTTTTTATCTAATACCTCTCCATGCTTTTATCAGTGGCAACAGCCTTCATGACCTTCTCAGTTCTGAAGTGCTTCCAGAATGGACAGAAATAGCTGAGTAAGCAACCTTTGATAAATAAGTGTAAAAAGGATTTGGCTTCTCTTCATATGGTACAATAAAACAGGAAAAATATTTTTTATTGTGGACCAAGCTTTTCCTAAAAGTCTTGGAATATAAGCAACAAAAAGTTTGCAAGCCTAACCTTTGGCTTTCATTCTGCTTGCTTCTCACTGTCCTGAAAATTCTGTTAAAAGTGGGTTCGCTTTTGACTACATCCTATCAATCATGTAGATTAACATTGCTCTGTGCTATTATCACTTAGCATAGCTGCTCTATTCTATATAACCTCAACCAAGGGGCTAAACTATATGAAATATTGGAGACTTGTAATTGATACCTTCAGCCTATAATTTGTGTTAATCCTTCTTGCCTGTAAAGGAATTACTTTTTAGTGTATGAATGCAGGATAATACATTTAACTTCTGTGACTTCAAATATACATTTTCAATTAATCTTCAGCAAAGCAAATGAAGGTCTTTTCCTCTAACTTTCATAATTTGATGTGGGTCAAGCACAAGATGAAATCAATTGAAGGTTTTCTCTGATTTTTCTAGCTATGAGTTGCATTTTATTGAGCTGAATGCAAACCTACTAGCCATATGCTGTTACCAGTCAGATTGCTCAATGTGCCATCCTTTCTTTGACTAAGATGGACAATTTAACATTTAATGGGCATCAAGGTAGGCAATACATTTATCAGACTGGCCTACAAAAATCTATTATTAAGTGGCTACAAAGAGTTAGCATTTCTGTGTCTCTTTGTGGCCATGTAATGGCTGTCCATATTTCTGCAATCCATTTCTGATAGACAAAATGGGGAAGGGAATCTTACAGAAACTCTTTATTCTCATGTAGCTGGCATTGTGACAAGCTAAACTTGATGAAAGAATAGGACTCATTCTCAATGTTCTTCAGCAAGTCTTTGGAACAAAGATGGAAAAGTAAGGTATTCCATGTTTTAAGACAGGGATGCTGAATTTTGTGCATTAAGTATTTTTAACTAATAACATTAATTCACTTGCTTAAAACAAAACATTACTAAAACAAATAAGTCACTCTCTTTCATATATCCACTGCTATTCTTGCAAAGGAATCATAGATTTATTTGTTTTCTTGTTATTTAAGTAGCTGCATACCACTCAAGATTCACAAGGAAGCTTTGGATTTGGCCGACCCTATAAGTTGTAACTACTGTATATTCTCTCATTTGGCTCAGAAAGCCCAATAGTTTAACAGATATAAAATTATTTATCTGACACCTGGCTTCAAGCATATTTCTGTCAAAATATGATTTAACTTGACATCACCACTAAGATGTACACAAACCAAAAATAATCCTTTTTTTGCTGTAACATATACCATTCAAAAATTACTTTTTAAATAAAAAAGTATTAGGCCATGAATCTTGAAAGTTATCCAAAGGTTTTCGAAACTTTGATAGTATTCTAGGACATGAGAATTAAAGTACAGTACTTGCCTATCTTGGATAAATAAGTGTAACTATCTCAGATGTGCTCAGATTCTTCCAAAAGTATTAATACATTAATCAACAATTGGTTCAGATTAATCCTTTTCTCTCCCAATCTTTCTGCAACAGCATTTTCCTGATAGAGCTGCTAATTTTTCTGCTGGACTGTTACCTGCATGCTTTCAACCGAAGGCTATACAACAGCGGTAAATACCCAATTTAGAATGGCATGTCTAAGGGCAAGATATAATTTTTGAAATATTGTCAACTATTTGTTTGATGGTTTAATGCAAACTGGATCAGTCAAGATAACCTGATGCTGCTACATCCATACTGAGTCTAAAATTCACAAGATAACATTGGCCAGTTTACCTTTCCTTCTGTTTTGACTTTTAGGCTTTGTTAACAGCTACATAACAGATGAAAGTTCA